ACAGGTGAGTTAAAAAGGTATAAGGCCTGATGGGTTGTTTGCGGTTTTAATCAGCGTTTTGGTGTTGACTACGGTGAAACGTTCAGCCCCGTTTTTAAGCCTACCACTGTCCGCGTCGTCCTTAGCCTTGCTCTGTCTCAGGGTTGGCCCATTCATCAGCTAGATGTCAAAAATGCATTCCTCCATGGTCAACTTTAGGAAACCGTGTATGCCAGCTAGCCCCCTGGATTCCAGGATACCAATCACCCTCATCACGTCTGTAAGCTCAAAAAGGCTCTCTACGGCCTAAAGCAGGCTCCTCGTTCATAGTATCACAGGTTTGCAGGTTTCATTCAGACTATAGGGTTCCACAGGTGCAAGTCTGACACATCTCTCTTCTCTTTTCTCATACCACGGGGACAGCCTACCTCTTGCTTTATGTCGACGACATCGTTCTCACTGCCTCTTCACCTGCACTCCTTTAGAGCATCATTCAGAAACTCAAGGTTGAGTTTGCCATGATAGACATGGGTGATTTACATTTCTTCCTCGGCATAAATATTCATCGCACTTCCACTGGGATGTTCCTCCATCAGACTCAGTTTACCCACGACATCCTTGAACGGGCTGGGATGGTCTCTTGTCGCCCCATCTCTACGCCAGTGGACACAAAGGCAAAACTATCCTCATCAGCTAGAACGACGCTACCTGATCTGACATTGTATAGATTCGTTGTTGGAGCCCTGCATTATCCAACCTTTACTCGACGTGACATCACTTACGACGTCCAGCAGTTTTGCCTTCATCTCCATGCCCCTTGGGACGTACATCTCACAGCCATGAAGCGAATCCTTCGCTACTTACGTGGCTCGACCACCCATGGCATTCATTTGACACGATCCAGTACAGATTTTTTGCAGGCTTATTCTGATGCAGACTCGGCTTGTTGTCCCAACACTAGACGCTCCACCTCTGGTTACTGTGTGTTCTTAGGCGACAATCTGGTCTCCTGGTTGTCCAAACGCCAGGACACCACTTCTCGATCCAATGCAGAGGCTGAGTACCGGGCTGTGGCCAATGCCATTGCAAAAACTTTGTGGATCTGAAATCTTCTCCTTGAGCTTTAGCAGCCACTACGACGTGCCACCCTCGTTTTCTGCGACAACATCAGCGCCGTCTACCTACCATTCAATCCAGTGCAGCATCAGCGGACCAAGCACGTGGAGGTCGTCATCCATTTTGTTCGCGACAAAGTTGCACTCGGTCAGGTTCGCGTCCTTCATGTGCCCTCCTCTTCCCAGTATGCTGACATCTTCACCAAAGGACTGCCGTCTCTGCTCTTCCTCAAGTTCAAATCCAGCCTGGGAATCCGACCTCCTCCACATCCGACGTAGCCGGGAGCATGCTAAATATATTAATTATATTTATTATCTTTGTAATTACTATGTTACCATACTTGTATAGACTTACTAATATGGCTCTCCTACTATGATTAGGATTGAAGCCTCTAGTATATATTGATGTAATCTCTACACAATTATTCAATAAAAATATTTCTTCTACGCTATCTTATCCTTTATCCTTTATATATATATAATATTTGGGAGTTAAACTCCCAGAAATGCGACATGTGGCAGGCTACTTGGCAATTTTTTTACACATCATCAGCCACATATGAGGACTTAAGTGACTTGGCAATTTTAACTTAAAGTATGAAAACATCTTATTATAGCAAATATTCATTCCCAATTATTGCACATATGAAAATTTTTTACGAGGTATATGTAAAGTAATTATAATTAGGAGGTTATAAATGTTAATTATAAAAAAACTTTTAATTAATTGCTAATGACATTTATTGGCTAATCCTTCCTTTTATTATAAAATTTGAGACTCTGGCTTACATGATATTGGCCTGTCACGAGCTAATATGACATCTTTAATAAATCATCTCTTGTCTATTTATTATTTTAATGAGTTGGTAATTTTAATCAACATACGAAGTACTGATTTGACATTATTTTATTTTATTTTTTATTGATTGAACATAGTGACTAAATTATTTGTCTTTTTAGTTTCATGCAGTTAATCTTAAGAATTAGTAACTCTATTGTTTTTAACACCCGGTTCATTTTTCGAATGATATGTTTGACCACTGAAATTTTTTATCAAACATATTTTTTATTTTGAGATTATAGTCTAATTTTTAATATTTCAATTCATTATATATTTGTATAAATAATTATTCAAACATTTGATAGCAAAGCGAACTGAGACAGTTAATTAATAAAGTTTTTAGAATTATTTAAACATACCAATTTATTTACCATATATACGTATGGGGGGGGGGTAAAGAACACTTTTTATTTTGGGATTTAGAATTACTCCCTCCGTCCCTTTAAGATCTTCTCATTTTGACTTTTTGTGGTTTTTAAGGAGAGTTGAAAAAAATGTGAAAGTCTACCATAATACCCTTAATGAAAATGGGTGGAGTGTATTAAATGAGGTAGGTGAGGTGTAATAAATAAAGTAAATGGAGATAGTTGTGGTATATATTTTAATTGTTAAAAAAGGTAATTAGAAGATATATGGTGGACAAATAAAACGGTTAATGAGAAGATTTATGAGGGACGGAGGGAGTATATTTTTGCATAGAAAAGTGATTTAGATTCATCCATTTTTATGAAATAATTAATTATGCACCTATTTCTCTGAATGAATTTTATTAATTTTATATTTAGGTTAGTGGTCTTATGCTAAACAAAAAGAATGGGTTTGGTTGCTACATATCTTGAAAAAAAATGACCATGTTAAAACTCCTCAATGTATAAGTAGATTTAATCTTCTCATTTAACTTTTAATGCTCTCCAATATAATATTTTGATCATTAATATCAATATTTATACTTATCGTATCTTATGAAAATTCATATTTCAAAACAACATTTCAAAAAAGATTATTGATATTGCATTTATAGATAAACAAAAATTGTTTTTCATATATCGAGGCCAATCTTTATCTTTATATATTAAATTTAAGAGTTAAACTCATAGAATTACAATAAGTGGTGAGTCTACATGGCAACATTTTAACAAATCATCTGCCACCTATACGGATTACGAAGTGCCACTATAATTATTTGAAAAAAAAACTAAAATAAGATTAGAATATGGAGAAAATGCCAAAATATGAGTTTCATATTTTTTTATCTTCAAAATATTAACTACAATACCAATATTTTATTATATAGTGCTAAAAACATTATGAAATGGTAATATACAGTGCCACAACGTCACTTTGTAAACTTTATTTAGGAAATAAAAATATTGAACTCTTATACTCGACTTCATAAGATTTATGTCTTACTTCTATTTGAGTGATTTTTTTTAGTTTTGTTTAGGAAATATATACAGAGTAATATATATGGAGTAGTAACTACAAAAAGTTTCCTTCTACACTTATATTACCTTATATATCTTTTTTTATTTTACAAAATCATCATCTTTCCTTC